CCCTGTCCAGATATAAAAAACTAGCCCAGGTGGAAAGCGCAAAGAGCAACTGAACACCGAGGATCCGGCAGCCTTCCGACCTGAAAGCTAGACACAGGGCTGAGCTGAGGCACGATATTGTACGCAGTGTAACGTCAACGAGGCAATCACGAAGCGTGTTCACCGGCGCCCGCTTTCGGCGGAGGTTTCTCGGGTGGCTTCGGCTGCCATGTCTGCAACCATCTGTGGCTGCGCCTTTCAGCTTCGTTCGTTAACCATCTGTATGAAGTGCTTGCGTGGTGGTATTTCTTTATTCCTAACCCCTTCTTCCTGACCCTATGCTTCCCCTTCCAGAAGAAGCAAGCATTGTGCTTCTTTTGGTGGCGGCTGTCAGCATTTTAACTGCAAAGACTTTCTTTGCGTGCTGCATAAATACTTCGAGAATTACTATCTATCTATCTATCTATCTATCTATCTATCTATCTATCTATCTATCTATCTATCTATCTATCTATCTATCTATCTATCTATCTATCTATCTATCTATCTATCTATCTATCTATCTATCTATCTATCTATCTAAATCCGGCTGCTTCCATGATCGGCTCTTTAGCTTGGTGCTGAAGAATTTTAGTACGGGAGGGCAAGATCGATCGACGAATATGTCTGGCTGGTCACGAAATAATTAACATGAAAATCCTGTCGTGTATGTTCTCAAACCCCTCTCTCCCGACACCAGTGGCAAATACCCGTATACTACGTGCCACAGTATGCGGGTATGCGCTACTGGGAATTGCCAGTTTACATATAGCCCAGAAACGCTGAAAAAAGGGTTCGGTAATTTTGGTACGAGAGCGCTAAAAAATTCACATTCGCACCATTGACCTCAATAATATTGGTATAGTTAGTGCTCTATGATTAAAAAACTGCACTAAGTATTTCGCCGTATCCTCGTATTTCTTAAAAGAAACTGCGCTAATTAACATCGTATTGCGCAGCATGTGTATTGTAGATTTTAATCTTGGCAATATTAAATGCTAGGGTCGCTGCAAGAATTGCACCCAATTTGTCTATGTGCTTGACAAGTATTATACAACAGAACCACGTCCAGCCTCGAAAATGCTTTTGGAAAAACGCCCTATATATGCAGGAGTAATGTTGGTAAAACGGTAACTGTGCTTGAAGAGCTGGCTATGTGATTTTATAAACATTATATATGTGCGCTAATGATACAGGAGTCGCGAGGGGTTAACGTCAGCTGTAGTTAAGCCCCATACACTGAAGTGGGTAAAGGTATCACTATCCAGAACTACCATGATTCCAAGCACGAGCGCTGCGTATCAGCTTACGGCTTTTGGTGTTGATGACACCCACTTCGCAGTTGGCCTCGTCACGCAGCTCTAAACAGCTGGTTGTATAAATGATATAGACTGTTCAACATTTGCATGTGTGCACAACATTCTTACATATCCTTGGAGTCATTTCGTAACGTTACGTTTAATAAAAAAACTGCACCAAAGTCTTCTTCGCTCCGCATGCTTCGCATAACATGTATTCCTATGGTACTTGGGATATGTCGAATTTTTTGTGCCACCGTGATTTTTGTGTATTCTGCTCATATAATAATAATAATAATAATAATAATAATAATAATAATAATAATAATAATAATAATAATAATAATAATAATAATAATAATAATAATAATTTATTATAGTGCTACCGCACTGAAATGGCTGAGACACCATTGTGTGACTACTCTATCCCTGCAGATACGATGCACCGCCTCAGGTGCCACTCAATGACTTAACAGGCATCGCTTTATGGTCCAGTGAGCCTTAACAAACTTTGTGATCGGTCTTTCAACCACCAAAAGATCTTGAGAGCCTGGCTCAGAATGATCAGAGAGATACTGTACAAGACCTTCTGCACTTCTAGGACAATTATTTGAGGGATCGCCTGCAGTACACTGCACTGTGCACGTGGTAGTGAATTGTGTACAAGAATGTGTTCCGTTTATCTCGCCCCCACAATCTACAGCGCATGCGTAGCGTAAATACAACTTATAACATTGTATTCAGCATCCCTTCTTGCTGAATTCGCTCACTCACTCTTTCTCTCTCACGTGGCACTGAAAAAATAGGCGCTGCATATCGACGAAGACACAGAAAAGACAGCAGACAAAGAACGAGTGCTAGTCTTTTGTCTGCTCTCTTTGTAGTGTGCTCGCTGATTTCTAGCTCCTATTTTTTTCCTTATCATGGATAGGCAACTAACCAAAAAGTATGTTCTTACGGAAGGCCTGTATTCATGTGTAGCGATGATCCGGTAAAAACTCATGTACCGCCGTGACGCACCAACATACACGCACCCTTATACGAAAAAAAAGACACAGCTTATCCACGAAGTGAATGATGATGAGTAGGCGAAGCAGTGGGATCGTTTGATGTTACCGTAAATCACCCGGGACATTTACCACTCACGCATGTAAATGAGTGACAAAGTGGTACGTACGTATTATCATTGCTTATTGTTGATTAATGACATATGTGGAGTTCTGAATTTCGCTTTTCTTTCATTATTACTGTCTTGTGGTATCGAATATAGCCTGAAGTTAGTAAAGATGATGTTTTCGTACGTTATCCTGGTGGCTGTCAGTTGTTGTTCGTCATGCGCAATGCACCGTAGAGCATATGTTCATGTTCACCTATTGACCGGGGCGCATACCTATACTGCATGAGCCAATCGCTGTCTGTGATCATCAACGTCATCATATATATCGTCTTCAGCATCATTGTCACCACAGCTACTGCGAAATCTATTGCCACCAATGGACAAGCCTCGCCCTTTCCAGTTCATTTCAATATTTCATTTATTTACAACAATAATGTTTTCGGAAGGCAAGGGACGAAAAGCTGATAAATAAGTTTAAGGGTGTCCTGGTGTGATGGTTAAGGAACGTTCGTCACTATGTTTGCTTATAGCGGACGAGAAAGAATTAACATGAACTTTTTATTTCATGGCATGGGTGGAACGGCTGACGGCGCACGGATACGCTACCGTGTGCAGCGCCGTTGAGTCGGACGTCGCGGCCAACCCAGCAGTCAGGGTCGCAACTCCGGAGGTCCAGGATCAGGCCACGGCTCACGAGGGCCACACCCGGTAGGCCTCGCCCACGAACCTGCTCCCGGCCACTGCACCCAGGCAGGAGCCGTTCGGCAGGTCTCGGCCTTGGACCTTCTACAGGCCGACGGACTCAACCTCGAACCGACACACCGGAGCTCGACCTGGCCGACACGTACGGGTCCCACGTCCGGCTCAGGAACGCTCCCAGGAACTCGTCTTCTCGAGCAGCACACCGCTTCATCTGCCTTCGTGGCCTCCACCCTCGAGCTCTTTTCCGCACGTTTCTCGGTACGGCTCGGCACCGCTGGCGATCCTCGATTCAGCCAGCAACTCCCCTGGCACCTGGATCCTCGGCCACCCTGGACCTCGCCCGGCTCCGTGGTCCTCCGTGCACACTCCCGCGTCTCGCCTGGCAGAACGTCTCGCTCGTCCCTTGCCGATGTGCGACGCTCTGGTGACATCGGCGCTTGTTGGCATGAGTGCGACTACTGAGCGGTCAACCCGCATCGGAGACGCGATGCTCCATGCGGGGAATGGCCAGCCCGTCCAGCGAAGAGCGTGCGCCGAGACGCGATGCTCGACGCTCCCTGACCATTAGCCAGGCCACGTTCATCGCTGTGTTGAACGGCTGACCGCGGAGACGCCTCGCCGAGATCCGCGATGCCCTCGGCAAGGAAGAGAACAGCAGGCCAGGCCGCGCCCCGAGATGCAGTACTCTTGCCGGCAATGCCGCCCCAGCTGGTAGTTGGACGACAGTAGCGTGGATAGCCGCGTTCCCTGGCCGGAACCTGGATCGCCTGCGTCCGACGCTTCGGCCCGCTGTCTCCCGTCTGCCGCTTCTCCGGCTCGTCCCCAGCCACAACGCCCACTGCCACGTGATGGTCGCCCGTGGCCCAATCGTGGCACGCCACCTCAATAGGCCACCACAGGTAATCAGCTGATTCGCTGACACTCACGCGCACATTACACGCGCCTTGCCCCGCACTTCCGTCGTTGTCGTTTTCTTCACTCATCACAATAACCCCCCGCATAAGAAAGTTGTTTCAGTCAAACAACTTTTCTCACAATACACAGTGATGAGGAAGAACAGTCCCGTGGACGCAAAAAGAGGAGACAAACAGCTTTTGCAATCTGTTTACCGCAGTGTTCATTTCACATGCGGCACATTGTGCCTCGCATGATCACGGTCATGGAGGAGTGCAAGGAGCGGTTTCATCAGCTTCGTAATGCTTAAATCGCAGGGGCTGTCCTCAAACCACAGGTGATCACACACAACGCAGCCGAAGCCAATGTGCCGCGGGAGCAAGACCCGCCGCAAGCGGCATTCGCACCGGCGAACGCGCTACCGCAATTCATAGATATGTGGAATTTAACGTCCCAAAACCATCATATGATCAAGAGAGACTCCTAGTGAAGAGCTCCAGAAACTTCGAGCACCTGGGGTTCTTTACTGTGCACCCAAATACGACAACACAGGCCTACAGAACTTTCGCCTCCATTGGAAATGCAGCCGCCGCAGCCGGGATTTGATCCCGCGACGTGCGGGTTAGCAGCAAAGTACCTTAGCCACTAGGCCACCTCGGCGGGGCAAGTTGGTCCTCTAGCATTTGCTCGTTTTTGAGATCATTGCGAAGAATCCTGAAAAATATCCGCATCAGCATATTAAGATAAAAAAGGAGAATAACTGTGTCTTAACTAGAGGACCCCTGTGGTGCCTTTCTGAACGGCAGTTGTTTCAGCCACAAGGCAGTTACCGCTACTCCATCACACGTTTTAAAGTGTAGACAGCTACCTCCTACTTGAACGTGTAATTGATGGGACCTCCGTGCGAATTAAAAAAAGCGCTTTTGCTTTTCATCATAATAGCCATAGGCAGCAAGGGGGAGAGTGGGCAGTCAGACTTTAGTGTCGTAGCCTGTGACGGTCAGCTCGAGATGAAGCTTCACCTGGAAGGCGTTGCATTGAGAGCGCGTAATGTTAGGCATGTTAAGTGATAGAAAAGGAAACACATACTCTGTGAGTCCGCAGGCGGCGCGAGCACGCCGCAACTGGCCCGACGCGAAGCCGCGTAGTCCACCGAGTTGCGTGAAGTGCGTCGGGATGCGGGTCCTTTGGTGCCCGGCGGATGAGCCAGGGACCCGTCCACAGAGCTGAGCACGGCGGCTCCCGGGGGCGGCGAGGCTGCATCACCCATGCGATCACGCCCGGATGTGCCGAAACGGGCTCTGCAGAAAGAAGAAAAAAAAACAAACACTAGAGGCAAATATTTGTGACTGTTTTTTGGAAATAATAAAAACGATGTTTTGTGACAACGTAAGGTAAACTCATCATATTTTATTTATTTCTTTATTTATTTATATACCTTAAGGGCCTCTAGGTCATTACTTAAGAGGGGGGGGGGGTTCATACAGTAATCATTAAAAAAAGCCATTTTTAACAAGAAAATACGACAAGAAAACATGCGCAGGATGCATAGTCTGTCAACCAAGATAAGCAAGAAATAACGCAGCAATGTTTCCACAAGCGAACACATTGAAAAAGCTGCACGACACGTTATACAGCAATGCTCAAGATTGTCCAACACATTCAAAGAACGCAAATAATGCAGACTGAAAAGATAATCATCTTTTCAGTCTGCTTAGTCTGCTTGCTGTGTATGCGTTACAATGCTGGCAGGCAGAGCGTTCCACTCGGTTATCGCGAAGACAAGGGGTGAGTATGGGTGTTTTTTGTGCGACAAAATATAGGTTCAATTTTATGATCATGATCAACGCGTGCGGAAATGTACAAAGCAGGGTGAATGAACGTATGGAGGAATGGCGAATCACTGTGGTGTAACTTGTGGAAGAAAGATAAGCGGAAATATTTCCTGCACATGGTAAGAGTGGGGAGATTCAGTTTTTTTCTTAATGAATGACACACTTTCATAGTGGGAATAACATGACAAAATAAATCGCATGGCTTTGTTTTGGACAGTTTCGAGCGTATCAGTAATGGTTGCTGTGTGTATAATACACAATATATTCAGTCTTCAATATTTTTCATTTATACATTTTGGTCACCTCAAACGTACATATCAGTGACCAAGTGCGTGCATGTCCAACTCATTTCGAAGTTCAACCATTCTATAGAATAAGATGTCCGCCGTGGTGTATCAGTGGCTACTATGCTCTGATGCTCACCCTAAGGTCGCAAGTTTGATCCCTGCCAGGGCTCTCATATTTTGATGGAGGTGGAAGGGTTCACGCCCGCGACCTGTCAGATATCAGTGGCTCGTTAAAGAGCACCACTTCTTCAAAACTGGCAGAGCCCTCAGCTACAATATCTCTCATAATCAGATCGTGTTTTTTATTGAAATAGAAAATAAACGAAGGAGTTTTTGTCACCGTTACTTGGCGACGGCTACCCCTTTCCACCTAATTGGTACAAATAAAATTATGAAAAAAACAATAGCATATATACATATATACAGTCCTACATGGGTGAGAGCAGAAGTCCTCCTATAAACACGTGGACGACACGCTCACTTTTAACTTTTGTCCGCTCAGTATTCATCACAAATCTTCGTTTCTTCGAAGAACTGTTGCAGCACCTTCCTTGCTTTGCACTTTGTTTTGGATGGCCATGGGCCTAGTATTTTATTCGACCCGAATGGTCGCTCAGGATCTAACCTATGCAGTTCTTGGTCTAGTCGCCTTCGGTGTGTGACGTGTTTCGGGCAGTCAAGCGAGAGGTGACAGATATCCTCGTCGTCGTGGCCGCATGAACATGCTAACGATGTGGCACGATGTATACGAAGTAGGAAGTGCTTTGTGTAAGCAGTTCCGAGTCATAGGCGATGAATGAGTGTGTCGATACGTCTTAGGAGGTCACGGTCTAATTGGTATTCAAGATTAGGATCAACAGAATATAGGATCGATTCTTTTGGTTTGTCTGTGAACCAGGTAGACAGGCATAATTTACGTTTTGTTGTTCTTAAAATTCTATTTGCATTATATTGTGATACCGGAATCAGGCTCCTTTGCGTAGAATTATGAGCGGTTTTCGCCAACTCATCCGCCATTTCATTTTCCTTAATTCCACAGTGACTGGGGACCCACTGAAATGCCACTCGATGATTCGGCTTCGTAGCTCTTCGACTTCGATGATTCGACTTCGGAGCTCTATTAGTATAGCGTACACTATACGTACATCAATGTGTCTTGAAGGAGCACTTTCCACACATACTAGTACTGCCAGAGAGTCCGAATTACCACCTATGTTCTTGGTGTCGTTGACAGTTTAATAAAGCTTATGGCTAGCAAAATCGCTACGAGCTCCGACGTTGTTGAAGAAGAGAGGTCGCCCAACCGACATGCATATTCTTCGTGCAATTCTGGAATTATGAATGCTGATGTCGCTGTCTTTTTGGTGACGGAGCCGTCAGTGTAGACGTGAGTGTATCCTTGGTACCCGTCAAACAGATGATGTGATGCCAACTGCTGAGCGGCAACGGTTGGCACTTCATGTTTGCTGCGAAGTCCTTCTATTGACGTTTCAATAGTTGGTAGCTCAAGCAGCCATGGAGGGTAGTTTTGGCCCATTGGCCAATGTGCCGACACAGGAAGCCGGGAAATGTACTGTTGGTACACATGGTGTACTTGCGCTCCAGCGCGGTTCACGTTGTTTGACATGAGCGGATGGGAAGGGTGCATGAGCGGATGGGATGGGAAGCGGATGGGAAGGGGGATGGGAAGAGGCGCCGACATGTCTCCACATTTCCATTTACTGTAATGTTGGGTTCTCTTGCCTCTGCCAGTGTCAAAGAACTTGATGTTGCCTGTGGAACCCCCAGACATATGCGTAAGCTTCGTGCTTGTAACAGCTGAAGTCGGTGTAGCGACGTCTGAGAGATGTTGTGGAGAACTGGCGCAGAGTAGCCAATTTTCTGTCGGATTAGTGCACAATGGACGTGGAGGAGAGACGCTGATGTACCGCCCCATTTCGTTCCCCCGATGCGACGTATAACATTTATGGTGCTGTTCACTTGATTTTCTAGATCAGCAATATGCTGACTCCATCTGAGTAGGCTATCTAAGGTAACGCCAAGGAAGCGATGCTTTCGTGCGATTTCGATTCTCTGGCCATCCACAAAGAGCTTCAAGTTTTTCACTATTTTTCTCTTGAATGGCAGAACTACAGATTTGGCGTGAGAAATCTGCATGTCTCGCTCTTTGAGGTAATCACTTATTGCGCCTAGTCCTTGTTGAAGCCGATGTTCGATCACTTCCAGTAATTTGTGAGACGTCCATATGCATATGTCATCTGAATACATGGATATGTTCAAGGCATCGGGCAGTACTTCTGGAAGACCTGCCATTGCAGCATTGAAAAGAAGCGGACTTAGAACGCTTCCTTGGGGTACACCTTTGCCCAAGTTGAAGCGATCGCTGTCTCCATGATTTGTTGAAATGTATATTTGTCTGTTACATAGGAGGTTGGTGATCCATTGAAGGATACGACCGTGAACCCCTAGTGAGGTAAGCCCGTGCAGCACAGAAAGGTGCCTCACACAGTCAAACGCCTTCTTAATATCTATGAACGCCTTAACAGCCATGTTTCCACAGCTCATCTCATGTTCTACAAATGTAACGAGGTCAAGGACGCAGTCCATGGTGCATCGCCGTCTTCTGAAGTCAGCCGTCTGTTCTGGAAGTGACTTGTTAGCTTCAATTCACCACTGTAATCTTCTGTCAACCATTTTTTTCCATTTATTCAGATACACAGCTAGTGAGGCTGACTGGTCGGAATGAGTCAAGCGAAAGCGGTGATTTACCGGGCTTCAGTAGTGGGACGATTCTTGCGACCTTCCAACACACTGGAACGTACGCCTTCGTCCACATGTCGTTATATATCCGTAGAAGAACTGGCATGCCGTTGGGTCTAAGATTTTTCAGAACACTGTACGATAAGTGGTCGGGACCAGTTGCCGTTCTTACGGGGGTTAGTGATAGAGCAGTACGCAACTCCAGTAGAGAATACGTGTTATCCAGTTGAGCATGTGATAAAGTGTATGCATCTTGGATTTGCTGCTCTACAGAACTAGGCAGTGCAGTAGTGTTGTGAACCGATTGCCCAGTTCTAGTCAGCATTGTGCAAAACATATTAGAATCATCACATTCGGATAATCCAAGAGATATGTCCAATGCTCTGAACGGGTTTCGCTGGGATACTGGATGACTTAGAGCAGTGATTGTTTGCCAGATTTTCGGAAGCGGAGTAAAAGGGGTCAATGAGTTGCAGAAATCATGCCATTTTTTCCAACCTAACTTTTGCATGTGTCGGTTAGATTGGATGTGTGTGGCCTGACTCTTCTTATAATCTTCAAGCCTCCCAGTGCGGCGATAGCGACGTTCTGCTCACCTTCTAATAGCTCGTAGGCGCTCATAGTCTGCATCTATACTTAAGTGACCTGCTGGGACAGCTGTAAACCTCGTCGCACGGGAGTAACTGCTTTTAATGCAGGACATAAATGTATCCAATTTATTGACTCCCATCAAGTCACGTCCAGTATGTTTACGAAATAGTTTCCAGTCAGTTAGCTTTGGAATCAATGTGGTCGTTTGCCCGTGCATTCTTGGGTGTTGCATAAGAACTGGGTAATGATCACTCTCTCGTGTTTCGAGGTCTGTACACCAGTTCATATCTCGTGCAATGTCAGGAGAGGCTATAGCCAAATCTAGACAGCTGGCATAATTATTACCTCTCAAAAACATTACTGATCCATCATTCAGTAAAAGGCCACATCGATCAATCGTTTTTTTCGAGTGTTCTCCCACGTGAATCGGCATGAATACTGCCCCACGTGGTATTGTGCGCATTGAAATCTCCACAGATGAGGGCAGGCCCCTGGGCTTTACCCAATAAATGAACAAGAGATGATTCAGAGATGCGTGTCGATGGTTGCAAATAAACACAAATTATGGTGATGGTAAGTTTCTGGAATTGAATTTTGCACCCTACAAATTCTGGCACGTCCGATTCCGACGAGTATGAAACAAAAGAGGATATGTCGCGCTGTACGCTTAACAGTGCCCTGCTTAAGCCTGGATTTCTTCTTGATGCATATGTGACATTGTTAGAAATTCTAAAGTCAGGGCCAATGTTGGTTTTATTTAGACACAGAATGGGGAAGCTATACTGAGCAACCAGCTTCCTAAAGTTTGCGCTTTTTGACCTAAGGCCA